CTCCAGTCATGATCTCCAGGTCCTGGGATCAAGCTCCGCATTTGGGTCCCTTCTCAGGGCAGGGAGTCTGCTTCTCCCTCTGCCCCACCCTTGCTCCTCTCTCTCTCTCTCAAATAAATAAAATCTTTTTTTTTTAAAGATTTTATTTATTTATTCATGATAGTCACAGAGAGGGAGAGAGAGAGAGGCAGAGACACAGGCAGAGGGAGAAGCAGGCTCCATGCAGGGAGCCCGACATGGGACTCGATCCTGGGTCTCCAGGATCGTGCCCCGGGCCAAAGGCAGGCACTAAACCGCTGCGCCACCCAGGGATCCCAAATAAAATCTTTTTTAAAAATAAAAAATGATAGCAAAATCTCCTACCTAGCATTCCTTATTCCCCCTCACCTGGCTATATTTTTCACTATGCCACTTATCCCATTCTGACATTTTTATTGTCTATCTACCCCACAAGATCCATGAAGACAGGGACTTTGTCTTGTTCACTGCTGTATTGTCTAGGGCTACAAGTACCTAGCTGTCCTTGCATATTTTAGGAGCTTAATAAAAACTTGTTAAATGATTAACTATGGACAGAGAAGCAGAAAAAGTAGGGGATAAGGAGGCAAAAGCTGTGGGGATAAGGAGGCAAAAGAGAGGGAGGAAGGAGAGAGCAAATGGGCCCAAAGAAGCAGAAATGAAACCGGAGCTGGTAATGAGAGCTCTTCCTTCTGGTTCCAAACTATTCATAAGGCACAGGTGTACCTCTTGAGTTGCTCAACTTCAAGCTGCTCTTTTTAAAAAAAAAAAAAACAAACTTTTTTTCTTTTCTTAAACATTTTATTTATTCATGAGAGACACACACACACACAGAGAGAGAGAGAGAGAGAGAGAGGCAGAGACACAGGCAGAGGGAGAAGCAGGCTCCATGCAGGGAGCCCGATGTGGGATTCAATCCTGGGACTCCAGGATCACGCCCTGGGCCAAAGGCAGGCATTAAACCACTGAGCCACCCAGGGATCTCCCCCCCCCTCCCCCCCCCCCCCCCCCCCCCCCGCCTTTTATTTTTCAAGCTGCTCTTCAACTTCACTTGTTCTTTGTCATTTGCAGCTGAAGAGTTCTAATCAATATAAACAGTTGGAAGTCCCTAACAGAGAACTGAAAAAACAATAGCCTAGAAATTTAGTTATCATCAGGCTTATGAAAAAGCACAAAGGATAGTATTCAGGAAGATGGGAATACATATTAGAACTAGTAAGGATTCAGTTAGTGGCTGGATACAAAACAGATATATACAGATACATAAAGACAATAGATTCCTTCACAAAAGCAGTAAGAAAGTTATGGGGAAGAAGATGCTAATTACAAAGATAGCACAAATACAAAACATCTGGAAATAACCTTAATAAGAAATGTAAAAGTGCAGGAACAATATGGAGACAAGACAAAACAATTTATGTACTATTTGTATATATAAAAAAATACAAAAAAGATCATAAGAAGTATGTTTAGAATATTTAAAATATATGTATCTATATAAATAGAATCTAGAAAAAATCAATCAAAATGTTAACAAAAGCAGTTCCTCTGAATGTGAGAATACTTGTAGCTTATTTTCATTTTTATATTTTCTTTCAGATTTCTTATAATGAAATTTTCTTTTAACACAGAGGCCTTGGCAACTTTCCTCAACCCTTGCCATTGCTAACACAGAGGAGGAAGGGAACAAGGGAACACAGGCCTCAATACCCAAAGCTCCAGGGGCAGCTCCTTTCTGCCAATAATATGGAAGAGAATGGGAGTAGAAAGACTACAGTCTCTGGGGTCAGACTGGCCAGAAGAATAATTCTGGCTTTGCCACTTACTATTTGTAAGTAACTTGAAAAAGTTACTTAGCCTCTGTGCTCCAATTTTCTCACATACAATACAGAAATATTAACAGCTAAGTTGCTGGATTTGCATGAAGAGGAAACAAACTTGGTGGCTGGCATATTTATATGCCAGTGATCCCCAGCACTGGTTACTCCTAAGAATCACCCAGGGAGCTTCTGAAAAATATAGACTTATGGACCCTGATCTCTATCTTTTGAATTAGGAATTCCACAGGTAGGGCCAAAAATTTATACAGAAGCCATTATAACATGCACTTCTGGATGCCTTTCTGATTTTTACAGTCATTGTATCTGGCAACTGTTTTAGGGAACCAATACTAGAAAAGACATAAAGAAAACTTCAAGAATATTCATAAATAATTGATATACACACTACATTATTTCTGAGTTATTATTTAATTCATGTGTAAATAGCTTTGTCTTTTTACTAGACTTCAAACTTCTAGAGGGCAGGAATTATTTATTTCCCAATCACCTAGCACAGAATTATTATGCACACAGAAGGTATAGAAGAAAAATTTGTTAAATGACTCAGCGATAATAAATTTTGTAAGGCATATTACCAACACCATTTTAAAGCAATAAAACTTAAAATACTGGAGCTTGGGGCACCAGGCTAGCTCAGTTGGGAAGAGCATACGACTCTTGATTTTGGGGTCTTAAGTTCAAGCCCCGCGTTTGGTGTAGAGATTACTTAAAAATAAAATCTTAAATATAAATATAAATATATGCATGCCAGGGCTTGATTTGACATTGTTCCTGCCAAGGTTTCTTCCAATGACCACCTTCACATTTACCCATGCAGTTCTGGTTACAGAAATACTACAAAGATCTTTATCATGTGGTCTCAGGGCATATGGCTCAGTAAGCTCACAAAGAACCTCAGGGTATGAACCAGACAGCTTCTCAAATCCCTTCCAACTTTTCTATGAAAAGCCTGCATTTCTGCTGTATCTTGAAGGATGGACAGGATGTAGACAGAATAACTATGGAAGAAAAACATTCCAAGGGAGGTCATCATATTCATAATAATGATTTTTTTAATAGAGAATAAGATAAAGGATAAAAAAAACAGATGAAAGGATTTTTAGCAAAATGTAAACATTAGAAAAAAAAATGAGGGAATGAATAAATGATTACCTAACCAAAATTCTCAATGAAGATCGAAAGGATCTAGCTGTGGCATGTCTTGCCAAGAGAGAGTATGTGCTTGAGAGCTGTGTAAAAACAGAGTGGCTCCTCAGTTTACCAGGTAGATGTTTACTGGACCGCTGACTCCACTTTTCCAACACGTTTTAGGACACCCAGAGTGCCAACCTGTGGTAACAGTGGAACCCAGCTGAACAGAAAATTCAAAACCATTCCTCTGTACAATGATGGGGTTCACTGGCCTGGCTCAAGGTCAATATTTCAAAGAGGGGTCAAGTATATTAAGAAGGAGCTTTTCTAGCAGTAAGATCATAGGGTCAATTACTGAAATCTGCGAGAGACGGAAATAAGAGGGATGGAAACTGAGGAAGAAGTATACACCAATAATGAACAGTATGGCTCCAAATGAAAGCAAAAAGGAGCCTATTTATTTCTCTAGCACATTCTGTGAAACACTAAACAGAAGTTAAAGTGGATTAGACTTTAAGGAGTAAGTGAAAGATGTATCAAAATTTAAGTTGAAGAACTTCTCACATTGTAAAGGGGATTGATGCAGTTATATCTGAGGTGCTCTATTCATCCTATTTATTTGTAATTGTTTTAAGATAAGGACGTAAGAAAGGCAAAACAAAGGGTAGCTGGAGAGATGAGCTTAGATAAACTGGCTCTATATTCATTAAGAAAAGATTAATAGTAAAAGCATTAAGATACATGATAAATTTGAAGAAAGTGGACAAGATAAACAATATAAAGGTTTTCAGTCTGTGATAAACACAAGAGAGAAGTATTAACTGGATCAACAGAAAAGGCCAGCCTAGAGATTTTTAACACATCAAGAGTAAAATTAAATAGATACTCAAGGAGAACCATAGGAAGTCATAGAAGTGAGACCTAAGAAAGAAGTGAATGAGATTTTTGGTTCTACATTTAGAAGCCATCATTAAGAAAATCATACCCACTGAGCACACTTGAGTTTACAACCACAGCAGGAGAAAGCAATAATCACTTTATATAGTACGGTTTAGCAGAAGAGATTGGCCTTTAGTTGCAGACAGAGATAGAAAATACAGCTCTACTGCACTACCACTTTCCAGGCTTATCACTGTAGCAAGTTAAAGCTCTCTCAATCTCTGTTTCATCTGATAACAACAGCATATCTATACCTTATAAGATTGCTGCATTGGAGGTAATGTACGTAAAGTGCTTAGAACAGCACTAGGTAGGTACTGATGTTAATAAAATAATAATCATTAATATTGTTAGTTTTATAAATATTATGTAGCAATGAAGTCAGTCAAAAATTAATTGGACATCTACTACATGCCAGAGTTGTAGTAGGTGCTAGAAGACATAGAAGACAAAGTACAGACATTTTTTTGAAAGGAGAAAACAGAAAATCTAGGATACATAATATAAACATTAGAAGATACTTCAATAGCATTTTGGATTTTTTTATTTTTTCTTGCTGAGACTGAAGATTTGAAAATCAGTAATATGGCCAGCTTTTACTACAAATACCATATGAACACTAACTAGAAATACTGACAATACCAGCAACATAATGCTTGTTAAGCTAAAGGGAGAATTAGCATATATGCAAAAAAGATTGTTATTTTGGCCACTAATGAGACAAGGGAAAGTCTAGGTCGGAACTGCCAGGAGGAATCTATAACCCAGAGGCCCATCCAAACCATAGGTATTCCTTGGCTCTAAGAACAAAATACTGGCATGACAGTTTGTACAAAATATGCCTTACACACACCAATTCCTGTGATGCAAAATGAAGAGTGACCAAAAACACAAGACCTAAAGAACACATGGCTTCAGGGGGCTAATGTACCCAAGTGAAAGCAAAGCTCAAAATACAAGAGGTATCTGCTCAGAGGATTTAAAAAGATGAATTAAAAATAAAAGCTCTTATTTAATAATATAACTAAATATAAAAATCTCAAATTAACAATTAAAATTTTTTCCATTTACCTGATTGCTTAGAATTTCTTTCTTTCCACTGAATATTTTTGCATTTGATCTGGTTTTGTCTCTCTTTTCGGAGTCGTTCTAATCTTTGAGCTTGAAAAGAAATGTTATAACTATAAGTTTGTCAATGAAAGTTTACTATAAACAAAGACATAATTAACTACCTTTATATGAATAAAGATGTTTTATATTGCACATGTAGGGAAAAAGTCATAAAATTTTAAAGGTGGCACCCCTGAAAAGCAAATACCAACAAAAACATGAAAATATTCTTGATTTATAATTGAAATTAGAGGATATAAAACATTAATAGAGATCATAAAGATAGTATTAACATGGAAGAGAATAATAAAATGTGAAAACTTCTGTGATTAATATGACATTTCATTATATAAATCATTAATAACGGTCTTAAAGGAATTTTAATGCACAAATGAACTGAAGTGAATATTACATTACAGGAATAAAATTACTGTTATGAATTACTCTACCCGTTTCAAAAATTAAAGATAAATGAACTCAGACTAGACTATTAAAGTTTTAAATATAAAATCCTTTATCTAAAAATCATGAAAATTATAAAATGTCAAAGCTATATAAATTAGCATAGCTTTTCTTCAGTGGGCTCAAACAGTTTATAGGTAGTAAAATAAATGATTTGTATCTTCGTAACATTAGTCAAATCTTAAAAAGAATAATTTTTCTTATACAAAATTTTAAGATATGCTGAAAGGATTAAAAAGTACATTCTTTGGTCACTAGGACACTCCACAATTGTAATTATTGCATCTAAGTGCTATCTTAAGAAATTCCAACAACAATAACAAAAGCATCACCTAAAATCATGCATTTGTGAGATTATATTACCACTGGCTGATCAACCTTCAAAAATCAGTGAACCAAAAAAAAAAAAAATCAGTGAACCAATCTTTTGTTAAAGAAATATTGTTCAGCATATATTAACAACTACTGCATAGGAAAACCACAATGGAAAAGAAAGTCATAATTGATGTTATTTCTTGAGTTAGCTTCAACTTCCTATCCTGGAACAATGCTAACAAAAAATAAGTAAATTTCTCTTTCAACCTCTTGCAAGGTAGGATAACATACACACCTGCCTTAGCATTGTGGTAGGGAAATACTGAAACTAGTCTTGCCATAAATGTAAACTGTGCCGGCAAAAGCATTTTGACAATGTCACTATATCTAACCAAATTCCACTGAAGGAAAATACATTCAATTGCAATTAATAAATGTGAAGGGTACAGCCAAAGTAATACAATCAGAAAGCTCTCAATTTAGCAGCATTCTCCTACTGAAATCCATTTAACCTGTCATATAAGATACCACCTCAATAACTTGCAAAGGAAGTCAGTTTCAGCTAGAGAACTGAGAATCAATGGTTCTAAATTATATTCAAACCTTCACTCAAATCCTATTTTGATAAAAGTTCTTTGAGCTACTGGGAAATGCTATTAATTATTTTCATCATGAGAGCAAATTATTCTTTGGAGATGTCACAGAATGCTGAATTCCGAACCAAAACCTTAACATGCCTTGCACTGTATATTGTATCCTACAGTACTTCTTTAAGTACATTTTACATTTTGACCACGAAAATAAACATGTAAATATTTTCTATGATCTACGACATCTCCTACCATTACTTTTCCTGGGAGTTAGCAGGTTACTCCTACTGATTAGTGGAGATTATATTTTCTGATTACCTAATAAAAATCATCTCCTAGAACACCCTGTCATATCAGAACTACATTATAGATTCAAAATAACTTATCTAAGTAAAGGCCTTGGTTCATCACATTTCCCTTGAAAGATTTCCAAAACACATAAGCTGGAAAATAGGCATTGATAAGTTTTTAAAAGCTAATGATTGAATATGTATGTACCAAAGAATAGCATTTTCAAGCCACAAAGATCAAAGGGTAGAGACCAATTTAAGAAAATAAAGATAATATATCAAAAACAGGGGGACTGCTATTAAAAGCAGCCCTAACAAATATTCAGCTATTTACCTCCAATCCTCCCTCCACCCTCCCACAATCCCTCCAAGGCCAAAAAATGGCTCCAGCAGCATCATTCCTTGGCTAGTCAGCTCTCTGTATTAAAGGTTCTTTATTATGTCAACCTGAAACCGGCTACCAGGTAGTCTACCCACTGGGACTAATGTTGCTCTATGAAAATACTCAAAACAAGTCTACTTCTCTTTCTATGTGAGGACTTTTTAGAAACAGAACATCCAACATGCCTCTGATAGCCCTTTTTTTATCTATTCAGTTTCTACTTCCTTTAATAATGTCATTTCAGAGGCACTCTCCAGTCACAGAAATGGAGTTGTTTAGACTCACTGTAATACATGCATGTTCCAATTAATAGACACTTTCCCCATTAAACCTATTCCAACATTATGCATTATTCTGTAAGATTATTGACTGATTTAAAGTTCAGAAGACATGACTAAAAGGCAATGTTTACCTGTATTTGAGCGTCTTCTAATACCAAAGTCCCAACTTGAGGTAATATCGACTGACTGGGCATATACATAGCCCTGAGTCTCACCATTGCTTCCCTGAATTTCTGACCCACTGTCTCCAGGCATTGAAGGAGGATGAATCTTCTCTAGGTCAACATCATGATCAATGAGAACCATTTCACACATTCCTGTGTCATCACTGGTCACATGTGACTGTCGGATATGAGCTAGAATGATAGTTGGATTGTCCAAGAAGGCCATCCTTTCTGTGGGCCAATTTCCTTAAAAGGCTATTTTCTCCTCTTCATATTGTTTCACGTGCTCACCTCCCTAGAAACATGATGTACACAGCAATATTTAAGAATAAAAAAGAAGATGACTGAATCATTTTTCAAACAAATTCAATGTGGTACAATGCTACCTTGAAAATCAACATTTATCCCTGTACCTAGGAGCTTACAAGGATTAAGCCTAAGCTGAAAGGAAATCCTTATAAACACTAGGGGCTACAGCTCTAGTCAATGAGGATGGCTTCCTCTTTTGCAAAACAAATTAATAGTGACTCAAAGCACATAATTACTGTTAAAACAATAAATTTTCCTTTCCTTCTCCTTCATTCCAATGCAGTCTCCTCATTACTCTATAAGGTCACAGGGGAACAAGTCGTATTTTCTCAAATTATGTGTGAAAGTATGAAACTGTCCTTTCTTTTGTTTACTTTTTTTTTTTTAAGATTTTATTTATTTACTCATGAGAGACACACAGGCAGAGGGAGAAGCAGGCTCCATGCAGGGAGCCCGATGTGGGACTCGATCCCAGGACTCTGGGATCACGCCCTGGGCCTAAGGCAGGTGCCCAACCGTTGAGTCACCCAGGCATCCTTTTTTTAAAAAAAATTTTTTATTTATTTATGATAGTCACACAGAGAGAGAGAGAAAGAGAGAGGCAGAGACACAGGCAGAGGGAGAAGCAGGCTCCATGCACCGGGAGCCCGATGTGGGATTCGATCCCGGGTCTCCAGGATCGCACCCTGGGCCAAAGGCAGGCGCCAAACCGCTGTGCAACCCAGGGATCCCCAGGCATCCCTTTTGTTAACATTTCATCTTTGTCTTTGTCATATGGTTGTGAGGCAACTAAAAGAACACAGACAATACTTTGAGTTACTAGGAATTAAAAAAAAAAAAAAAAAAGAACCACCAAAGTAATTTTGTTCAATAAACACATTTTCCTTTCTTCTGGTTTAAGAGAGTATTGTGCTTTTATTTTATTTTATTTTATTATTTTATTTTTTGGGAGAGAGGGAGGGATAAAGGGAGGGGCAGAGGGAGAGAAAGAATCCCAAGGAAGCTCCACACAAAGCACAGAACCTGACATGGAGCTCAATCTCACAACCCTGAGACCATGACCTGAGCAGAAATCACACTTAACTGACTGAGCCATCCAGTCGCCCCGGTATTGTGCTTTTAAAATAAACTTTACTAATCAAACTTCTCCGCTACCAAATTAATTTCTTACTTTAGAAATCTCATTGCAAGAACTGCTTCCTGAATCCTGTTGAAACTAAAATGATGTATATTCTGGGAATAAAATGGTACCTCCTTAGTTAAATGGGAATACTCAACAAAGAAAACATGGTAGTCTCTTCTCATCTGTGGTTTCATTTTCTGCAGTTTGTTGTTACTCATGGTCAGCTGCAGTCCAACAGCAGATGATCCTCCTTCTGATGTACCCTGACAGTCAACAGTAGCCTAATGCAATGTCACAATACCTAGGTCATTCACCTTACTTTGTCTCATCACGTAGGCATTTTATCATTTCACATCATCACAAGAAGGCTGAGCACAGTACATTAAGATATTCTGAGGAGGGAGACCACAGTCACATAATTCAGTATAGTTGTAATTGTTCTGTTTTATTATCGCTATTAATATCTTACTGTGTCTAATTCGAAAATTAAACTTTATCATAGGTATGTATGTGCAGGAAAAACAATAGTACATATAGGATTTGGTACCATCGATGATTTCAGGCATCACTGTGGTTCCTGGAAAGCACCCCCTGCAAATGATCGGGGACTACTGTATTAGAGGACACTGGTTAAGAGAAAGAACTGCAGGCAGAACTGGGTTCAAATCGTGCCCCTACCACTAGCTGGCTATGTGATCTTGGTCAAAATAACCTTAACTTATTTGAGCCTATTTTCTTTCTTCATTAATAAAATGGGGACTCCAGGAATGAGAAGATGTTTAAGAGTTAATGCAGGGAAAGTGCTCAAAAGAGCACCTGGCACATAATTAAGTATTAGCTGCTTTTAATAATAACAATGATGATGGTAAAAAATAATAACTTCAGCTTTCAATTCTTGTTTAAAATAATCCTAAAATATATCAACATTCATCCTTCTTTAGTAAGTGCACAGCACATAAAATAAATGTGTGGTTCCTTTCTCAAAGAGGACTCTGCAGGTCACCAGGGTCAACTTCTTCCTCCTCCTCCAAAATCATTATGAGATGCAAGGAACATGAAAACTGGATTGAATATGTTCCCAGAACAGTCCTAGAGGTATTTATTTTTAGAAAGGCCTACAACACCAGATTTTCTTGTTTGTCTCTTCTAAAAATGAAATATGCGGGAAATCTAGTTAATAAATCATTATAACCAACAAAGGTTTTAAAAACTTTTGTCTAGTAACATTCTAATGACATCACTCAGTAGATCTTAAAGATACCAAGATTAAGAGAAAGTATAATCAAATTAATTACACTAATCTTCATTTTTTTTCCTTCAAATATATTTATTGAGTAGTTATTTTACACTGAGGCTAATGGGAAATGCCAAGGAAAGGTATCTCTGAATCAAAAAGTTTATACCCTAACACAGTCCTAGTGTATTTAATATAATGAGATTCCTCCAAGTCTCAGAAATGTTAATGTCAGCCTACCATTTTCAGTGTATTAATCAGAAAAACATTACAGAATTAAAGAGGAGCATTTAAATTTCACTTGTAAAAATAAGAATTACTTATAAAACCATAAAGAGATGTATTCAATCATGGATTTACTTATAAATGAGAGTATTTGTTTTGTAACAAAATCATAGCATCACAGATGGCCAAAACTGCAAACATCCTCATAGCAATCACAGTGTCTCTCCCACGAGAGTAAGGCAACTAGTCGCTAGCAGAGGGGCAGGTACTTTCAATTTCATATTGAATAATTTTCTCTTGTAAAAAACAAGGGCTTCAATGAGAAGCTACACATTTAATGGGTGTTCTATCACCAACAAGTCAAATGGCAAAGGGCAAAGAAATAAAAGTATACTTAAGTACACTCAACAGGGGATCCCTGAGTGGCGCAGCGGTTTGGCGCTTGCCTTTGGCCCAGGGCGCGATCCTGGAGACCCGGGATCGAATCCCATATCGGGCTCCCGGTGCATGGAGCCTGCTTCTCCCTCTGCCTGTGTCTCTGCCCCTCTCTCTCTCTCTCTCTGTGACTATCATAAATAAATAAATTTAAAAAAAAAGTACACTCAACAGAATGTGCAAGTGTTTGTTTGTTTGTTTGTTTGTTTGTTTTCCGGAAAATGGATCTGCTCCATCACCTCTTAGGAAGTAAAGAGTAATGGGAAAATACTTCTGAGGGCACACAGCAAGTCTCTAACTTCATCCTTGTGGGACAGAGGCCCCAAAATACCCCAAAAAGAGCAGATATCTTCTTTATTGGTATACTACGACTTCATACAATTTGGAATCTGTATCATTCACTCAACAAATACTATTCAATACTGATTCTGATAGGGAATTTCAAGAAGTCTGCCCTAGGAAATATGCCCTCACCTCCCATGGCATGTACTTGAAGATTCAGACTATAAGTTCCACAAGGACAGGAGCCACATTGCCACATCCCTTCTGGCAACAAAGGATCTTATACATGGCAGAAATTCAGTAAGGGTTGCTGTCTGTCTTCCAAGGATTATACAATTTTGTTGTAGAGATAAGTCATCTATGAGTATGTCATGTGTAGTGTGATTATAAAGAAAGGATTGCTTTTTTTCTATTAATACAGATATAAGAGCTTGTCTTCACTATGCCTTTCAAAACTGTCACCTTGGGACACTATCAACTTATCCTGACACTACTTTTAGAACCAAAAGAATATGTTTTAAATCACTTTAAGAGCAGCAAACTACCATTTGAAGGTAGATTTGATTTCTAAGACAAAGATATTCCAAACACAGATGAAAACAAGTTATTTTCTCTGATCAGTTGTGCAAAGATCAAAGATTTTCTTTTTTTTTTTTTTTTTTTTTTTTTTAAATTTTTATTTACTTATGATAGTCACAGAGAGAGGGAGAGAGGCGCAGAGACACAGGCAGAGGGAGAAGCAGGCTCCATGCACCGGGAGCCCGACGTGGGATTCGATCCCGGGTCTCCAGGATCGCGCCCTGGGCCAAAGGCAGGCGCCAAACCGCTGCGCCACCCAGGGATCCCAAGATCAAAGATTTTCAAAACCTAATGTTGGCAGGGTTCAGAGAAATGAACCCTCTCATGCACTGTAAAAAGGAATGAAAATTGAGACTTTTTAGAGGGTAATATATCATCTATCAAAGTGTAATGAGTACGTTTTGGGCAAACCTACTTGTAGGATTTGCCTTTAAGAGATAACTATGCAAAAATATTTATCTCAGGATTGTTATACAGAAAATCTAAAAGTAACCTAAACATCCACGCCTGAGTATGTCATCACACACGCATGTAACAGAATACTACACAGTCATTAGAAACTGGTAGAAAACGGATAAACAAATTGTGGTATATATATATACAATAGGATATTCTTCAGTCTTTAAAAGGAAGAAAATTCTGGCACATGCTACAACATGGATGAACCTTGACGAGATTATACTCAAAGAAGTAAGTCACAAAAAGACAAATACTGTATGATTCCACTTATATGAGGCACCTAGAGTCATCAAATTCATAGAGACAGAAAGTAAAATGGAGAGTGCCAGGGGCTGGAGGGAGAGGGGGATGGGGAATATTTATAAGATATGTTTAAGTTTGGAAAGATGAAAAAGTTCTGGAGACTGGCAGTCTTCAGCTGCACAACAGTGTAAATAACAGTGTAAATATACTTCATGCCACTGACCTACATTCTTAAAAATGGTTAAAATGGTCAATTTTATTACATGTATATTACCACAATTTTTTAAATTTAAATTTTAAAATGTCTAGGAAATGCCACATTAAACAAAATAAGTTTGCTTGCTATTTAATTAGACTTCTCAAAGCTTTTAAACTGCTAATGTAGGGGCACCTGGGTGGCTCAGTC